GTTGAGAGCTCAGCAGACAGTTAAGTTTCACTTTCACCCGAGAGCCTGCAGGAGTCATGGGCACAGTGTGTGGGGAGGGGGGGTGGGCGCTCCGCCATGAGGAAGCTCGGTTTAAAGACACGTCCCAGGGGCGTTTCTGGCCCCCAAAGGTGTTTCTGGTCCCCACCTGTTGTTTTGCTCCTCAGCATGGCTTCATAAAAACGCTGCAGGATTTCTCAAACATGCATGAATGAGTCAGAGCAAGGCTTTGCGCATGTTTTTTTAAGACAGTATAACATTACGACATGATATAAAACTCTAAAAAGTTGATTTTACATGATWTTTACYGTAATCCTTTTGTTTGGGTTTGAGTGTGTCTMTTAGCAAAATATCTCTTGAACTGATGCTTTTAGAACGAACGTCTCAGAAAGTAATGAATGAATAATAACACAAACTTCTGCTTTTTAGTTCACACAGTTCTGACACAGAGAGAAACTGATCTGTTAGGATGCATTTATTATCGTTCTGACTCAACTGTGGCAAAGTTTAAATAAGTCAAGATGAAAAAAGTCTTATTTCTGACTACAACACATATTTTTAAAATCTGTAAATGTTCTGCTCTATTTGATCCTCCCGTCTCATCCTGAGGAACATTAGCTTTTTTAAAAAATTCTTTCCAAAGTGTAGATTTTGAACAGCTTTATTTTCAAGTGGATCTGTGTACAAATATAACAAGAGACAAGAGCCAGGAGCCACGGAGACCTAGCGCCCCCTACAGGCTGACTCTGGTACTACTGAAGTCCTGCCCCTTCGTGGAAACAAATGGAACATTTCTCTGAATCAAAACATAAAAACACACCTCAGACGATTCTTTTCAGYAGTTGAGCTTCGTTYGGGCGGCACAGTGGCTCAGTTYGTAGAGCTGATGCCTTGCAGCAAGGAGGTTGCTGGATCAAATCRCGGCCCAGGGACCTTTTCAGGTAGAGTTTGCATGTTCTCTCCATGCGTGTGTGGGTTTTCTCAGGGTACTCCAGTTTCCTCCCACAGACAAAAACATGACTGTCAGGTTAACTGGTAAGACTGAATTGTCCCTAGGTGTGAGTGAGAGAGTGAATGGTTGTGTGTCCCTGTGATGGACTGGAGACCAGYGTGCACCTCGCACAGTGACTGCTGGTTGTGGCACCAGTGACCCTGAAAGGAAGAKGTGGGAACAGACGGTGGATGAATGAATTTTTGTTCATTCAGATTTTGCAGCTGRTTGTTCAAACATATATTTTCCCAACATTTACTTAGTTGAGTTATTTAATAAACCCTTTTGTTTTTAAAAATTGTTGCAAATGCATGAAGCGGCCTGAGGTCATTATGGAAACACAATTAGAATTGAAAAAAACMGAACTGGTAAATATACGTTGTTTTACAGACTCAATGTATTTGCTCTGAATTGATTTGTGTAAAACTTTTCTTTAGGATCAAAAGGAAAAATTTTTTATAGGTCTTCTGGACGGGTTCTTCTCTAATGAAACGTTTCGTCTCTCCTCCAAGAGAC